TGAAAACATAACAATAAAACAAAGCCATAGCTACATACATAACAAACAAAACATTGAAACATTGCTATTTACAAAACTTAGTATAAATGTGATATTTTTGAACTATAAAATTAATATATTTATGTGTGTCACAATTAAAATATTAAGAATGTGCTAAAACTAAAAAATATGAACTTACCTTCTAACAATCAATGAATTGAATTGTTAGATTTGTAAAAAGTAATGTTTCGGATTGAAAATAATATTAAATTTATAAAAAATAATATTTTTTTCGGGTACTAATTACATAAACAGCCCTAAAAACAAGTATTATGAATGCAAAAAAAAAAAAAATCTAAAAATTAATCTCAGCCTACATCTTGCAACGTGTCCCGACTTTTAACCCTCCGCCCACCGCCTCATTAAATGAAGGCGCTAAGTCTCCAACATCCTCAAGATCTCGAATAATTTTTCCTCTATAAAATACCCTCCATCCATCCCCAGAAGGCCTTCCCTTGTTCCCCACTACCTAGTCGCGATCGTCTCTTCGCCCTACTCTCTCTATCATCGCCAATCTCCCTTCCTCCGGCGATCTCTCTCCATTAATGCGCTGATCGGAAAGCCAATCCATTACTTCCCCACGCGTCTCAATCCATCAGGTTCAATCATGGCAGAAAACGGCTCGACCGTCCAATCATGGAACCACTACGAAACACAGAGCTGGATCCCGCCGATTTACGCCCGTGAGAATGAAGCCCTAACCAAAGCCCTCCAGATCTCGCTCTCCGATGATTCCTCCACCTCCGAAACCCTTTCGTACCTTCCTCCGTTCCCCCCCTCATCCGCCAAGCAGGTATCAACCATCCAAAATCGGAGCTCAATTTATAGGAAGATCGCGAAGCGGAAATCTAGGGTTTCGAAACGAACTCCGACGACGTACATCAACGCCGATCCGGCGAATTTCCGGCGCATGGTTCAGGAGGTTACGGGGATTCGTATCGGGGAGGTTGGGAGGCCGGTCGAGCCGGCGGTCTGGCGAGAGCCGGAGTGGTCCGGTCTTGGTAGCTCGGTCCGCCAGCCACAAACCGGCCTGACCACGCTGGACACCTCCGCTTTGCTGCTGGATTGTGGCGGTCCAACCGCTACTGCTAGCGGTTCAATCGGACCGGCGGGGGATCCTTCCTTCTTCGATTTCGAATCGTTTCAGAGTTTCCCTACGCTGGAATCATGGGGCGCGATGTAGTTCGAGATGACCAATTCGATCTATTTTAAGATTTGTATAATATATTTTTAATTAATAATTTATTCATCTTAAAATAAATTAAAGAATTTTAAGGCTATTTATAATTACTTTTTAATCCAAAAATTTCTAATATATATATTCTCTTGAATATTATTACTTTGGTCGGTTAGTGATTATGCAGAGACTGCATGTATTTTCATGAAGCACAGTAGTGACACGGCTCTAGGGTTTTGTAGTGATTCAAGCGACTATTGTAGACTATGTGACTCTTTATCTGACTAATAAATTTGTGGTTTATTTTGTAAATTATGGTCTTATTTTTATTAATATGGCACAGCTTGGTAAAATTTAGTGATAAATATATGTTTTTGAGGT